TAGGAAAACTGGCCCTTCTTTATTTAGTCATTTATCTGCTTTAAGGTGCAAAGTCAGATACAGAATGACTTTGATAGCCTCAGAACCTTGAATTATTGAGAAACATTTTTATCATTTTCATTTTAAAGTGAATCTGTCACATATGACGCAAAATCATGGCATTGTAGTGCAGACTGAGGCATTGCGGAAACCACTTTTACTATTTAAATTCATGATGTCACTGTCAAGTAATCAGCAGTGGAAAAAAATCAAAGGTTGTGGGACCTTTTATCGCCAACATCTTTGCATGAAATTGCATAGTCAAAGCTCTTAACACTGTTCTATGCCTAGACACAGCAGGAAATTGCTTAATACACCCAGAGTAAATCCTTTATTATACTGTGCCATCCAGACACTGAAAAACTTCAGGAAAACATGTTATTCATCTAATTAACTGCTACATGCCCAAATTCTCTTTTTGTTAGTGGCAGATTCCGTTATTGAATGTAAAAAGGCTGAACTAAAAAAAATACTTTAGTTTTAAAACCAGATATTTAAGGAATGGGATTTGCCCAATCAAATCGGCTAGCACTAGGCAGGCTAAATGCTTTTTATAGATATATTTTTTATTAAAATGTTATAGGCCTTAACAATAGGCTGTTATCTTGACGTCTGGAGGCTGTTAGTGTATGCCCCCCCCAGGCTTATCTCTGCAGGACCTTCAACACCAGATGATTCCCAAATGATGGAATATACAGACTAATTAGAGACAAAACGTTTCCTTCATTGTCAATAAAGCAAGCATATTTCTAAAATTAAATAAAGTAACTCAATGGGTTTTTTCATTCATCCTGCACCAGGTAAGCTCTTCTGTTAAAAAACAAAAGACATACGTTTACAGTAATGAAATTCTATGAATTTCCCCAAATTATTTCCCATTTATTGAATTAATAACAAAGTAGCCATCAGGAATTATCATTACAAACAACATGCAGACTATGTGCCTAGGTGGAATGAAACTCCAAACCACAATGCTGCATAATGAAAACGCTGACCACTTACCCACCATGTGGAAGCATGGTGAACTCCCAGAATAGTAGTAACTACTAACATAGAAGTAACTACTATCAGTCTTTCTCACACTGAGGAAGAGTTCAGAGGCCATTGGAACGTTCAACCACCCACACAAACGAATATCAGTGGGAAGAGTGGCCCACATGCACCATAATGTATACATGGTGTGATAGATGATGTAGTTCTACTCCCCTACCTTTAGCATGATACCAGCCTGTGTGTTTTTAAATTGCATTTATAAAAATCAGTTGAATGCCATGGTGTTCACAGATATCTACTAGCCAAAAATCAGTGCCATCTAAACAAAATATTTTCCAGTCAACAAACAAAATACCTGATAGTGTCCTTTTTCTCTGTACTCCCATAAGTTTAATTTGGAATAACATACCCATGTGGGTTTTTTTTTAATCTTACAACTAAAGCCTCCTCCAGGCACCCAAGTTGTTTCTAAACACTAAAATATTGTCTAAGACTCCGGCTCTAGACAAGCCTGAAGTTCAGTTGTGGGGAACAAATGCGTGTTTCATTTAATAATTTTGAAATTAACATTGCAGTTCCTTCACACCATCATTGTCAGAGGGTTTCCCACGTTTTCTGCCTTGTCTGTGTCTTTTGTAGAGGCATCTAGCATTGGCAAGTTTCAGGAAGTTTAAAAGGTGAAAACAAAGAGAAATTGAGCTGTTGGCAAAAAAAAAGTTAGCTTTCGTTACAGATTATCTTGATCTAGGATACATAAGAATGTTTCCAGGGAGGGTTGACAGAACATAGGAAGGAATATATTTGAAGGACATTGCAGATCTCATGCTCATTGTTCTTGGCTTGGTTGCCTATACCCACTCTTCGTTAGTTCACCTTTACAGCACATTTTATACAAGACCCCCTAAGCATTATAGTATGCCCAGCACAGTGCAAACCACTGTTCAGTAATTAAAAAAGGTGCTCCTTTAGCAGTTGATGCCTGTAGGATGTGTGCGATCTGTCTTCGAAAACCCCTAAGAAGACAACGCCCCCCTTAGACCTGCCGGCAAGACGTGACGCATCACAAGTGCGCCCTAAGTGGATGTTTTGGGCTGGTTCAAGCAGTGCACGCTCTCCCCGCTCAGCTGAGCTGCTGCTACAGAGGGAGAGAGAGTGAACCAACCGGAGTACATGCCCAGTGTGCTCCATCTCCCTTTGTAGCAGCGACTGAGGTGAGTGGAGAGAGCGTGCTCTGCTTGAACAAGCCAAAGCATCCAGCAGGGATGCACTTGTAATGAATGGCACATCCTGGATGGAAAGGGGTCATCAAGCAACCTAGAGGTTTTAAAGAATGGCCTCACACATCCTACATGTTTGGACTGCTAAATGAGCACCTATTTTAACAGCTAAGCAGTGGTTTACAATGTGCTGGGCATGCTGTAATGCATGGGTGGGAGGTGAACACTGCTTTTTGTGTCCGTTAGGGTGATTCACCCATTTATTTGCCCTGTAAGACAGAAAGTGCAGGAAAATCCAGTATTTTTTGTCATGAGAGCAAGAAGTGAGTGCAAACCTTCTAATGGTAACAAATATTCCTATAACATTGTGGAGATTTCTACTCATTTCCTGTTTTGTCCTTAATACAGGAAGTTAATAGTATATGAGCGCACACAATATCCTCTCGGTATGGGCACGCAGTCCCATCTAATAAAGCACAGCCACTGTCCCCTCTACCGATCCACAGCTGGCTCCAAGCCTGCACACTTTACTCGCTGGTTTACGCGTTTCAGGGGCACACACCTTCCTCAGAACTCCCTGAAACGTGAGTACAGTGGGCAGGCTTGGAACCGGCTGTGGATCGGCAGACAGGACCGTGGCTGTGCTTTATTAGATGGCACTGCATGCCCCAACAGAGAGGATATTGTGTGCACTCTTATACTATACCATTGTCAGTAGGTCACTTTTTTAACATTTATAGAATAAAGCGTGTCTACACTTAGATTGGACGCCCTGTTTGTTGTGAGTGTTAAGATACCCAGATCTCTGAGAGCTACCCTCTAGTGGATGAAGCACGGTGATAAGGAGAGCTGTTTATGCTGACTGCGCCTGAAGGGGACTGACATATCTGGAACTACAGTTTGTTAATAGACCTTGGATTTAATCTAGAACAGGTTGTTTTTTTTCACGTTTATTATTTTAGTGAGCAAATGAGTTCTAAATAAGTAACTGCATGCTTATTAGGTCAGATCTCCACTGATTTGTAATTTATTAAATAGCAAAGTGCACGGTGCATTAAACCATTGTAACCAATCCGCACTCACTGAGGTGACTACTGGAACTACTGGAAACTGTAATCTTACTGGTGAGCATCAGCACATAATTATTCATTGCAGTGTTAATGAAAATGCAATCCTTGATGGGGTGTGGGAGATGATTTATAAAATCATTAAGCCATTTCTATGATGTCGGCTGATCGGGAGCAGGAGCACCGCTGTACACCGTTCTGACAGTGGAGCAGTGGTCGCTATGCAAGAGGTTAAAAAGTAAGCTACAGGCTGGGGGACCTTGCAGTCCGTGGAGTGGTCGTTGTGGCTACGCGTTTCGAGGCTCTGTACCTCTTTGTCAAGCCAGAAGTCGTTCTGAGATCGTCCACTGTCAGAACGGTGTACAGCGGTGCTCCTGCTCCCGATCAGCCGACGAGTGGCAGCCTGGCCAGCTGAGCTCTCATTGCACCTGACGGTGAGCGTCCCACTACACGCACAGTGTACTTCGCCTCAACTGGTCATCCGGCCACAAGATTCACCTTCCAACATCCATGGACTGAACAGAAGCCCCACAGCCCGGAGCTCACTCCCACACAGACCAGCCACAGATTCCGCCCTGCGAGCCGTGCTGACAATTAACGGCAAGATACCACCTCGTCCGTCCAAAAGTGAGTCTGCATCAATAGTTACACTATATCTTTTAACTGTTTAACTGTTAAACACCCAGTATTCCAGTGTTGTAACATGTAACCAGAGAGCACCTTGGACATGCACAGTGGAACAAAGCTTCACATGCATCATAACAGTTTTCTGATCAAATAAAAAAAAAAAAAAAATACTCCATGCATGGACAGTTGCCACAATACACTGAAACATATTTATCCCTTTTGCCAATACAAAACACTAATGTTTAAGTGTCAAACGGTAAGACTTTGAAGAGTCTGTGTTACACAGCAACCGAACAAGGAACATCAGGAGTGCACAAGGAAACGAAAATACCATCTGGACTCATCAGTGATACAAGATGAGTGTAGCCCAGAAGAATTTGCAAATGTAAAGTGAGGCAGGAGAAGTGCTTTAGTGATTTAGTAAAGATTCCTGCACTGTGTTGGGACAGAACCTTCTACCAAAGACAATGGTCATATTTCAGAACTGTATGAAAAGTAGACAGATGATGTCAGAGGCAGTGTGAACAGGAACAGCATTCTGTATTAGTCTTAAAGGACAAGAGGTTCTATCAAGGTTGTCATGTGGGGCGTACAAGAGGAGCCATGCAGAGAATCTAGGTGGTCAATGGCTCATCACTGCCCTTCTGCATATTAAAAATCGGTCTCCAGTCAGGAAGCTTGGTGTGTTAAGGAGACATCATGGTGAGCAGAATTTTCAAGTATAACAAAGGTCCATACTAGGCTTTCACTTGAGACATGGGGAAGCTTCCTAAAACAGCACTGGGTTAAAATAATAAAATGATAAATTGATTCTGCATACCATAATACATGGCAAGAATGAACCTGCACTAATGGTAATATGGGGCAGCAGAGATTGACGCTGGAAGGGGTCTGAAATGCTGCCCTGCAAAGGGGTCCACTGCTGTTTGTCAACTTTGGAGTGTGAAAGCTTGTTTAGAAAAACAAATGTGAACAGAGCCGAGATAACAGACACACAGCACCATCAAAGAACGTTAAGTGAAGATTTCAATGTCTAGGAGGCAGGAACTACATCAACAGACTTCACGCTGGGATTGTTGACGTTGCATACATTGCAGAGTTGCTGGTCACAGATAGTATGTGTGCTGCTGTACACACAGTGCAGGAAACCTCTCCAAAGAGGCTACATGAAACTACAAGTCAAATTACACAACTTGGTGGTCATACAGGCCCCTCTGTCATGGTCTCATGCATTAAGCCGTCTGTATTCTCAGTGGCTGCTGGCTCCTCCTTCTTTGGGGCACTGACTTGATGGAGACATACAGAAGGACGGTGGCAGGAAGAGTGCGTCAGTGATGGGTAATGCTGTCGATAGCAGATGTAGGCTAACACCAGACCGATCACACCACCCACAAAGGCATCTGGGAAGTACAGAAAATTATTAAGAAACATTCGATAAACTAGTTAGATATAAAAATGTTCCATTTAAACATATTGAGAAGACACAGCTTACCGGAGTAGCTCTAATTTTCATTCTACCATTTTCATGCTACCATTCATATTCTGACCTAACTGCTTGCTAGTTAATTTCCTATAGTTACCATTATCCTCAGCTTCTTGGAGTGCCTAAAGACAGTATTAACCCCCCCCCCCCTGGTTTTCCCCCTTTTATTTACTTCGA